TGTTGTTCGCCTCTAAAACCTAGGTGCGTCTTATGGTCAGGTGCGTCTTATGGAGCGAAAAATACGGTATATGTTACCAAAACAGGTGCCTTTATTGAAAGATTCCCCTTATGTTCTGTTCTCCAAAAATGTGGATTTCCTATCACGTTCTGGTCACTAAAACAAATAGAAAGTGTGCATCCCCCCAGCAGGGACATAGGCAGAAATGACAACCTGATGTTGCTTGAGATTTTTGGTTCAGTGCACAAGAAGCTACAAGCACAGTTGGATTTAAGGCAGCATCAACAGAATTGTTTTCTGTGCAAGCAGAAATCTATACAGCCTGACAAAAAGAAAACTAATGTGACCACCACATCTATTGACTGATAAACTATAAGTTATTAAATTTTTTTCTTGGCCAGAAAAACGTAATTTAAATAAGGCCTAGATTGTTTGGAAATCTGATATTGATCTTTTAGTTCAGCTTAGTTTTATGTATCTGGAACAGAATGCTAAAAAGCTATGTAATCCCTACACAGATAACAGAGTATAAATGTTTGATGTCTCGTGACTATGGATTATGGTTTTCTGATACTTTAGCGCACCAGTTCTTTCATGGTGAATATGATATTTTTTACTGTTCTTCATGGTTTGTCATATATATATAATCTGCGACATTATGCTCTGTTATTGTTTGTCTTTTTAGATTATTCTTCATTCAATATCATCTCTCATCGGTAGAATAAATAAGTACATCTTCCTTATAGAAAGTTCAGACACTACAGACCAACACTCCTTAAATTTCAAGTAACATTTAATGTAGGTTTCTTTTATTACTTTTTGAGTTGCAATAGTGGAATTTTAGAAAAATACAAATATTTGAAACTAAAGGGTGGCATTTTATTTCTGACTATAAACAAGTAAAACACAAAGAAAAAATGTTTAAATTGGACCTTGCATGAAAATAGACATTTTGTTTATTCAGTCTTTTAGACAAAAGTTTGAAAATGTACTTACCTTTCACCCTGGGTAAAGGCAAGGTTGGTGTCCCTTGCCTTCCAGCAAGATCATGGAAAATGGAAAATCTCCAGCATGATGCAGGAGTGTCCTACTTTGAATTTGGAATTTTTTTTTTGCAAATATTTGATTGTTTATTATTTTTAGTATAGTTTCACTTACATTCACTTTACAAAGTGAGCATACAGTACCTCTATTGGGTCCCCCTATATCCTGCACAGCCAGGCAACACGCTTTTTCAGACTTTTACTCAAAGTCAATAACCAGTCCAGGAGCTTGATTTGTTGTTTTATTTAGGTGATAAACAACTTTTATAGGGTTAGGGATATATGGGATACCCAACTTGAGTTGCAGTAATAAATCTGAGGACAAACTTCCTGATTATGTACAAAAACGCAGATCATGAACTTCCTGCTCCAGCACAGTCTCTGTGAGGGGTACTTAGTCCCCTCTAAGTGAACTCTCTTCAGACCCCAGATAGGAAATGCCCATCCACCTGGCTATCCTTTGAGGCATACTCTGGAGCAAGAGATTCCAAGACATGCATACAGCACTGTCCCAGGGAGAACTGGTTAAGTATCACACCCAGCAGCCCTCTCTCTTGTTGGCCCCAAGGGTGTAGAGGTACTCAGATTGTCCTTGTATCTCTGGGTAAACTAGGTTCAGGCCCTTTACTGAGCCAGTTTTTGTCCCAGCTTGCAGGCTGTCCTTCCCTGGTGGATGGAAAGGCATCTTCTCCCAGGCTACACAGCAGCAGCAGCTTCAGCGATCCCTCTTCCACCTGACTCCCAACCCCTGCTGAGAGGGCTGCTTATATCCAGGGGCAGTCTGACACACTACCAGTAACAAAAAAAAAAACAGTAACAAAAAAGCAAGCGGCACCATATATTTAACGTATCGCTGAACGTATATTATCTGCAAGTAACCAAAATCTAGACATCAAAAAAGGGGGGATGTGAAAAGAGATTCACAAGAAAAGCGGTTACATCATGAACAGAAAGCGATACCCAAAAATTTGTCAAAAAAATATGCTTTATTACAAACAATGCATATATAGACATTTAGGTAAATACCTCAGTTAGCCATCACCTCAAGATGAGACAATACAAAAAAGTATGACCTAACACCAAAATGTAGTTAAAAACAGACGTCATGACCAGTCATGAATGTATAGTGCTGTAAATGTAATGACACTTGGTCTAGTACGGGTGTCGGCAACCCGCGGCTCCGGAGCCGCATGCGGCTCTTTTTCACCTTTCCTGCGGCTCCGGAGCACACTGCCCACTAGGTGACAGGCAATAGGGTCGGCAAGCCGCGGCTCTTTTAATGCAGCTCTTCTATGTGCCGGGCGCCCGCTTCCCTCCCTCCTCCAAACATTGGCTGTCAGGATGTAGGCGGGGCAGCGTGACGAACTCCTCTCCTCTCACAGTCCGCCCTGAAGACCAGAAGCGGGCACGGGAACACAGCTAGAGGAACGCGCGGAGCAAAGGTAAGTGAATTGACACAGGGGGGATGAATTACTATAGGGGGGATGAATTACTATGGGGGATGAATTACTATATGGGGGATGAATTACTATATGGGGGATGAATTACTATATGGGGGATGAATTACTATATGGGGGATGAATTACTATAGGGGGGATGAAATACTATAGGGGGGATGAAATACTATAGGGGGGATGAATTACTATATGGGGGATGAATTACTATATGGGGGATGAATTACTATATGGGGGATGAATTACTATATGGGGGATGAATTACTATATGGGGGATGAATTACTATATGGGGGATGAATTACTATGGGGGATGAATTATGGGGGATGAATATGGGGGGATTACTATGGGGGATGAATTACTATATGGGGGATGTATTACTATATGGGGGATGAATTACTATATGGGGGATGAATTACTATAGGGGGGATGAAAATACTATAGGGGGGATGAAATACTATGGGGGGGGGGTGAATTACTATATGGGGGATGAATTACTATATGGGGGATGAATTACTATGGGGGATGTATTACTATATGGGGGATGAATTACTATATGGGGGATGAATTACTATATGGGGGATGAATTACTATGGGGGATGAATTAATTACTATATGGGGGATGAATTACTATGGGGGATGAATTACTATATGGGGGATGTATTACTATATGGGGGATGAATTACTATAGGGGGGGAAATACTATACTATGAAATACTAGGGGGGATGAATTACTATATGGGGGATGAATTACTATATGGGGGATGAATTACTATGGGGGATGAATTACTATATGGGGGATGAATTACTATAGGGGGGATGAATTACTATATGGGGGATGAATGAATTACTATATGGGGGATGAATTACTATGGGGGATGAATTACTATATGGGGGATGAATTACTATATGGGGGATGAATTACTATGGGGGATGAATTACTATATGGGGGATGAATTACTATATGGGGGATGAATTACTATGGGGGATGAATTACTATAGGGGGGATGAATTACTATAGGGGGGATGAATTACTATATGGGGGATGAATTACTATATGGGGGATGAATTACTATAGGGGGGATGAATTGCTATATGGGGGATGAATTACTATGGGGGGATGAATTACTATATGGGGGATGAATTACTATGGGGGATGAATTACTATATGGGGGATGTATTTTCAGTTTTAAAAATGTTTCTCTCAAAATAAATTTCAATCGTTGTTTTGGCGAGATTTGGCTCAGTTGAAAAAAAAGGTTGCCCACCACTGACCTAAGGCTATGATTGTGATTATGATGATACACTGTGGCCCTGGTTAACCCTTTGCTTACTGGGTCCTTAAACCCCCTTCATGACCAGAGCGCTTTTCGCAATATATGCAGTGTCGGATTTGTTTTAAATGTTGCAATGGTTTTGCGGCTCCCAGTCTTTTTTTCCCTCTCGGAAACGGGTCCAAGTGGCTCTTTATGTCTTAAAGGTTGCAGACCCCTGGTCTAGTACATGATCAGCACTGACACAAAGGTTAACACCACCATGTAGGGGATGGATTTTTGAAAAATTGTACCATAATAGGCTATACATCAGACATGCAATACTGTATATGTTGGTACCCATTAAAGATGGGTTCAGGAACCCGGTGCTATACATAGATATCCAATTCAGGGCAATGATCAATGAGAGACATATGCAATAGAAAGTAAATCTGCTTGTATAGGCACAAAGGCCTAAAGCTATGCTGTGTAACACACTGAAAAAATTTAGTGATGGTTCAAAAAATAGCGCTAATGGGCAAAATGAGTAGTATAGATCTATATAAAGACAGTTATGTCCAAAATGGTATGATGAAATAAAGTTATTGACCATGGTAATATCTGCATATGACATCCGTCATCTGTAGTTTAACCACTTGCCTACCAGGCACTTATACCCCCTTCCTTACCAAGCCAATTTTCAGCTTTCAGCGCTGCGCACTTTGATTGACAATGCGCGGTTCATGCAACATTGTACCCATATGAAATTTTGCAAATAGAGCTTTCTTTTGGTGGTATTTAATCGCCAGACTTTTTGCGCTATAAATTAAAAAATGCAATCTGGAAAAAAAAAAAAAAAAAATTTGTTTCTTTTATAAAATGTTTCAAACAGGTATTTTTTCTCCTTCACTGATTTGTGATGAGGCGGCACTGATGGGCACTGATAGGCGGCATGATGGGCACTGATAGGCAGCACTAAAGGGCACTGATAAGTAAAATGAGTGGCACGGATAGGCGGCACTGATAGACAGCACTAATTAGGGGTCACGGATAGGCGGCACTGATATGCAGCACTGATAGGCGGCACTGATAGTGACACTGATGATGGGTACTGATAGACGGCACTGTGGCATCACTTCACTTCTGGGCACTGACTGGCGGCACTGACTGCACAATGGGCACTGACTGGTGGCACTGACTGGCAGCACTGCTGGGCTGCACTGGTGGGTGGCACTGGTGGGCAGCACATGGGTGGGCACAGGTGGGTGGCACTGGTGGGCACAAGTGGTGGCACTGGTGGGCACAGGTGGGTGGCACTGCTGGGCACATGTAGGTGGCACTTCTGGGCACAGGGTAGGTGGCACTGCTGAGTGGCACAGGTGGGTGCACTGCTGGGGCACACAGTGGGGGCACTGCTGGGCACAGGTGGGGGCACTGCTGGGAATGGGTGGGGCGGGCTAGTGGGCGCAACTTGCGGGTGTCACTGCTGGGCACCGATCATCAGGGCACTGATCATCAGTGCCCTGATGATCGGTGCCGATCCCCGCTCTGACAACTGCCGGTTCTCGGCAGTACTTTCCTCACGATCTGACAGCGTGAGGAAAGTGCAGCCGAGAACCGGCACTTGCCTTTCCCTGTGATCAGCGTGTCATGGACACCGCTGATCACGTGGTAAAAGGAAGGTGGGATCGGTGACTCGGCTATGCGCGGTCGGCAAGAGGTTAAATGGCAAGCAGGGCCCTGCCATGTGCAATATAGAATCTTCACCGCCAGCATGCGGACTATGTAACTCCCTTGTTATGTAAATGTAGTGCAGAATGTAGGGGTATCCATGCCGTGTAATAGAAGTAGGGTGCTGTGCACCTTTCAGCAGATGCAACATGATGTCCCCATCCTGTAGTAAATAAGTGACATAAAGAGAGTCAATATGGTTATCACTAAGTTATGGAAATATGCCTGCTTCCTTCCTTATGTTTTCAATATTCCACTCACTACCTGTGCAAAGGATAGATGACAATGCATGGTCTTTCTCATAGATAGATTCACGCCCGAAGTCCCGGAGGCAGCCATCAACGTCGGTACTATGGACAGATGGGCTCCGCTTCCATCCTGGTACACATGCAGCCTGATGGACGCCCAGCACAGGCGTGTATATCCGCGCCCCCTGCAGGACTACGTGTATGGCACCAATGTGTCTGACCGATAGTGACGTCAGTGAGGCCTCCAGCCTGGGATTGGTCGGACTCCTATGCATATGCAGATCTAGGTTTCCACACCCCTCTGCCTACTGGCTTCTGAAAGTTTCCATGGACTTCCTGAACCAGGTGGAGGCAATAAAGGCCCAACCTGCTGAGTCATCCAGCATGATCTGGTCTGACCCAGACTTGACCCCCACTCAGACATGCTCACTCCAACTGCTGAGTGAGTCATTAAATTCACCTAATTCTCTAGCACCACTAGAGGGTTCTACATAATGATGACAAGCACCCTACAAAGTAAAATCTCTTAATTCTACCATCTCTTTTGCTGTGAAAGTAGGCATCATGGTGTAACTATTGCTTTATTTATGTTAAATTGTGCGCAGGGTCATCCTTTTTTCAGTGTGGAATTCAGTTAGCTAAGAAAGGTATCAAGTAGCACTCTGGATGTCCTTTCTGGAATACATAGTAGGTTGGTTAGGATCACCTTGAATGGACAGGTTTCTGTTTCTTCAGTCATTACATGGTTACTTGTGGTTGCTAATATACTGTTTTTATAAAAATTATAATTTTTTGACCTTGACACAGAAGTTTGCTGCTACAATTCACTCTACTTCAGCTAATGCAAAAGTGTGAATATATGTGATTGTCACTGGGAGCTTGTCACCAACATGAAACGCTGCTAAAGTACTACTGCGGGGCAGGGATAAGAGAACTGGGTAAAATTTGGTTTACAGGAGGCTTGTTGTACACAGCTAAACTTCCACTATTAAAAGAAAACTAATATTTCCTGCACTTAAGCTGCTAAACAGGTATCCAAGATAGCTGCTAACACAATTTGTTGATGGAAAATTTAAAAGTATGATAAAAATATATGTGTGGGTGCTAATAAATATTAAAACAGAAAAAGTGAAAATGTATATATAAAAATAAATAATAATAAAAAAACCTCCAATATAAAGTGCATGAATTAGTGACCATGACAATCACTCTATGAGTTACAAGTGCACAAAAACACACATACGTGAAGTCTATAAACAGTGCCAGTGCATTTCTTGATGATGAAGTCAGTGTATAAACACGTGAACTTTTCAAAAAGTTTTTTGACCTAAACTCTACAGTGCAAGAAGTTCATCACTAAAACTTCAACATTTCCACTGAAGACAGGACAAGCAACATACTGTAAACTACTTACCAAACTAAACTGACTTTCAAAGATTGAGTGGTCAAGTAGCACTTGCAGGAACAATCCTCAAATAACCAGGTCAGATATTGCTTCTCTGCTCCTTTGACGAAATGCGTGGGGAAGAGCCTGATGTGATGTGTGACATCACACAAGCGGATGTTGCTGAATTATCAGAACTTGCTTTACCTTTGTCAACTCTCATATAATGTATTGGAACTTTTATGCAATATGTGAGTGCGCATTTTTAAATGTTTAATAAAGAAGGATCTTTACTGCTACACTATGAGGTTTTTTTTTCTATTTCTGATGCGTTTACTTAGGAACGGGGAAGCAATATCTGAATTGATTGTTTGGGGATTGTTCCCACAAGTGTTACTTGACCATTCAATCTTTGGGGGTCAGCTTAGTTTGGTAATCAGTTTATGTTGCCTGCCCTGCTCTCGGTGCAGATGTTGAAGGTTTGGTGATGAAATTCTTCCACTGAAAAGTTTGTGTCATAAGCACTGTTTAAAGCGTTCACATGTTTATACACTGATGTCATTATCCTGAAGTACTGGGACTGTTTATAGACTGTCATATATGTGTGTTTTTTGCACTTGTAACTCATAGAGTGATTGTCACAATCACAAAACTTCCACTGACCCCAAACATAACTTCAATCTCCATTTAAGTCTATGTGAACCAAGTTTTTCAAAGCCAATTTGCAAGTTTTTATTTAAAAAATGGGTATGTGTAGCTGGACACATGTACTAATGAAAAATAATTTAATTCCATTCACCAGAAAGAGTGTATTTTAATGTGGCTTAAAGAGCAATGCTTACAAATACATAATCCTTTAAATAAGATGCTTTTGGAATGCTTTGAAAAATGACATTGTTTACAAACAGTGATCAGGGATCTGTCATTTAGCCATGGTAGCTCCACTAAGACTAAATGACAGATCCAGACTGGCTTCTGTGTGTAAACAATCAAGCCAGGAACCATGGGTGATGTAATTGACCAGATATGGTCTCAAAAATATTTGGCCAATGATGTCACCCCGGGGGAATTGTCAATTGCAACCAGACTAGCAGTGGATACACATTGTTGGGCATGCCGGGGAATCGTGACTGGATGTACTTTGGATGACGTCATTGACATTGGATTTGCATCAGGGGATATTTGTTTTTCCTAAAAAGGACTTTGTCATAGTGTGGGTGTTTTTATTTCATTTTTCACTTTTTTATGTGAATAAGTAGGGGTATTTTGAAAAATACACATTTAGTCTGTTTGTTATGAACAATTCTGTTAAAAATATGCAGAAAACGACGTAGCCCGAAGGTGGACCAATCATCCCAAAAATATGTTTATTTTTAACCTTACCTGGCACTTAGCTTTCTAACCATGTAGATTTAATGGAAGTTATTGTGAAAATAAATTTGTCTATTATTTATATGGAAATGAAGGTACATACTCTATATTTTGCAGAATGTCTGCATATTTGACATTCAAAATTCTCTCTTTTACCTTTCATTCTGATTCCTATCTTAGACATATACAAAATAAATAATAGAACAGATATTTGGCTACACATTTGTGGTCCATTCCAGTGTAGATCTGGACAATACAATTGCTACCCCTTTCATACTGTGTCTAGGACCACTGTGTCTGCAGTCACACACAAAATGTATTTTCTGTTGATTATTGCATTTGTTGTAATTCTAAAAATCTTGTTTTTATTAATAGTTTTTAGCCACAATCAGGATGTGGGTTGCACACACTAATACCTTAAAGACCGAATCTTAAACTACAATTGAAAAGCCTCTACAATGTTGTTTTTACATTGCTTTACAAATGTAGCTTATGTTTTACTGAAGTTTATATATTTTATAAAAGTGTATGTTTGATTAGCCTTTTTATCTTTGCGCTACAGAACATTTGTTTTTCCTTCCATGTGCATTGTTTTGGGTTTTTTTAAAATTGTGTTTAGATCACAGAGATTTTTCCATTAGCATGATGAAATAATTATTTTTTGTATTATTTTATTTTTGATCTGTTTAAATTTATCCCTCACTACTAAGTAACAATTAATGTATTTGTCTGAGTTAGGAATTTGGGGGATTCGACAAACCCATCTTGGAGTCTGAAAATTGCAAACTTAATTCCCAACATCATCTCTACCCAGGAAGGGGGGGGGGGATTTTGAAAAACAATTGTAAACAACCTCAAGGCTAATAAGCAACAAATTTTAAAAAAAAGGGCATAGAGAGTGGGACACTGGCTGAGGGACATGTACTTATGCCAAAAACATTTGATTGCAACTTTGAGGTTGACATGAGAAAAAACATCAATTCTTTCAATTACTTGCTTGGGAGATGCTTTTAAGCTGTATGTGTTGTTACAGAACAGTACAATTCTCAGGGATAGTGTCAGCAACACTGACTTCTACCATCCCATCTATATGTGTAATTGTTCTTTTACTTTTACATTATTGTTTGAATTTAAATCTGTCTGATTCATTACAACTTGACAAGTTTTGTTTAATGGTAATAGGCTTGAATCCTGGAAGTAGAGGACACAGCAGATATAAAAGCTTTTGGAAAGTGCACACAAAAATAAAGCTAAAACCCTCAACGTCATGCCAATTGGATTGTTTCAAAACCATTACATAGTATACTTTGTAACCTTCCTTTTTTGCAGTGCCACACTTTTTAGAATTCCATCGCACCTCTGCACCACAAATGTCAGTGCTTGAGACTAATCTATGTTGGGAACAGGTACATGAATTTGCAATGGGAGGTGGCTGGCATTGTTAGAGAGGGCAATACCAAACACTCCATTCTCAGTGCAGTTCAGGCTCAGCGTGCCCACCGCACCCATCACATAGGCAGAAATGGAGACTGACTTTTGAGACTGTCCTAGCAACCAATGAAGCAAATACAAAACAAGAATAAAGTTAACAATGCAACACCTTTCCACCTTAGCAACTCTGACCTGTCTGTATGCCATCTTTGAATTGGTCTTAATTACCTTCAGGTTAATTATCTGCAAACTGGAATTAATTATTGTTTAGGTTCTTGTAGTCACAATGACACATTGTAAAAGTGATGCAAATAAGAGTTACATAAATCTGTAAAACATGTCAGGACTGTTACCAAAACTGTTGCAAGACTTTCATGAATTTGGTACAGGACATTGTGTAAGGACCATTGCACTAGAAAAGTGTTTATTATTATTATTATTATTATTATTATATAGCGCCAACAG